CCTCTTCACAGCAGCAGTCAGGATCAACTAGTAACACAGATTCCTAGCCTCAGGGACACAGGAGAAACTGGAATAAAAATGGTGCTATAAAGGAACTACTAATACTCTTGCTTAGGAAATATTAGTGTCTTAGGGTTTCCATTGCTGTGGTGAAATACCATGCCCACAAACAGCGTGGAGAGGAAATGGATTAGTAGGCTTACATGTACATATCACACAGTTCATCACTGGAACTCAAACAGGAACTCGAATTCAAACAGGGCAGGAACCTGGAGGCAGGAGCTGATGCCGAGGCCGTGGAGGGCGCTGCTCACTGGCTTGCTCTACATGGCTTGCTCCACCTGCTTTCTTATAGAACCATCCACGTAAGCTGGGGCATCCCCCATCAATCACTAACTAAGAAAATACCCTACAGGGTTGGTACAGCCCGATCTTATGGAGGCATTTTTTCAACTGGGGTCCCTCCTTGCAGATGACTCTAGCTTGTGTCAAATGTACGTAAAATTAGCCAGCACAGTTAGGTTACACAAGGTAGACTTAGCTTTCAGTATGACTGGAAGAGAAACTGCGAACTAACAGGCTTGTTAGAAACAGTTTTGTGCCATAATTGAAGTTTATGCTTACTGAGAAACACTCTGGTAAGGCTGCACTTGGGAGGCAGAAGCAGGAAGATCTCTGAGTTTGAGGCCAGCCACTGAAGGATGACTGGAGCAAGATCTCCTGGGACAGGAGCCCTGTCTTCTGCCACAGTAATCCTCATGGCTGCTCTGATCTCAGAGTGATCCTAAGACATCCACAGCAGCCAGCCTGCTATCAGGGCAATCCAGCCACTTGCTGGAGAAGTGATTGCTCAGTTAATGACTCCTCTGCCAGGCTTTAACTTTTGAGGGAACGGTCAGTCTGTTGTCACTCACAGCCTGAATGGCCCTGCTCCAAAAAGTTTTGCTCATTTACAGAAACAACAATGAAACAAAAACAAAACCCTCGTGAGAGAGTGCTTATAATAAAAACGTAAAGAAATGCCTCATCAAAATGAGTGTCTACATCGTTGAAAAGTAGCCATGCTCGACTGTGCCTCATCCCTGCCTCGGTGCCTGTCTCACTTCTGTCTGCGTTCTCTTTACGGGTGTGACTCCAGGAAATTTTCTAAGCTGGCTACTTAGATGGCTACAAGGAAGGTGACAGCTCTCATTAGTTGTCACTGAGCATTGACCATGAACAGGGCAGAGTCCTGGACTTTGATTCTGAACCATATGCTGGAGCAAAGAAGAAAATACAAGAGAGTTTTGTTTTGTTTGTTTGTTTTTTCAGAGCTGAGGATTAGGACAGCACTCTACCATTGAACCAAATCCTCTACCCCAAGAAGAGAGTTTTTAAAAGTTCCCATTCATACGGCTTCATTCTAGTGGGGACACAATGAATAATCAGATCTGCAGTGTGTCTGAGGTCATGTAGGCTTGTGTGCCTTCTTAGGAAGGCACACAAGCCCCGCCCCTGGTTGTGTGTGCATACACAATCTGGTCCACACTTCCTCCTTTCAGGTGACTTTCTTCTTTTCTCCATCAAGGTAATTAATAGCTATGGAATATGCACCAGCTGTTCATCATTCCAGAACAAATTACTACAAACCTAAGGACTTAAGGCAAAATTAATCTCCTCATGGCGTGTGTGCCAGGCAAAGGCTGAGATCAGAGTGCCAGCCCGGAGCACTTCCCAGCCAGGCAGAGTTGGGGGAGGAGGCCCGAGCACACTGTGGGCTTGGCTGAGGTCCAGTCCTTCATGGGCAGCTGATCTAAGGCCCTCAGTGCCCACCGGTGGGGCCTGGAGGCATCCACACTATGTGATTCAGTAGAGCCTTGCCCTGGGTGGGTGGGGCTTCCACGGGGCATCTCCCACTGCGGCGAGTGGTTTGATCAGAACGAATATCTAAGTGATCAGGAGACCAAGAGTAAGGCTGCCAACTGCCAACTTTTATAGCCAGGTTGTAAATGGCAGCTTGTCATCTTCTGTTTTGTAGAAGCCTATTGCTAGATGCTGCCTACTGGCAGGGAAGCCAGAGAGGTGGGCAGCCCTGAGACATGAATGCCACGGAGCAGTGACCATTGGGACGCATTCAACAGGTGCTTCCTCCTTGACAGGGTCGAATGTATCAGGCAGGGTATCAGGCAGGCAGGCACACATCCCCACAGCAAGGGTGAGCCACAGAGACAAAAACCATATAGGCCATTCCAGTCACACAACTTCCATGGACAGTCTCCTAGTAGTGAGATAGCACTTGCTGACCTGGATGGTGACAGTTCCACAGAGAAAGCACGAGCTACCACATGGGACTGGCCGGGAGGCAGTCCGTGCAAAATGGCGGTGTGGAAGGACGGTTGAAAGCGGCATTCCTTTCCCCAGTAACTGGTTATTATGGCTTGAATCCCAAATGCACCCCCCTCCTCAGACTCTCATCTGAATGTCCAACTTCCAACTTGCTGGCTGTTTTGAAGGCTGTGGAGACTTGAGGTGAGCCTACTGGTGGAAGTAGCTTGCTAGGGGCCTTTGAAGTTATTCCCACCACTGGCCCAGAGTTCTCTGCTTCCTGTCTGTCGTGACCTGAGGTGTCTCTGAAATGGTTTTTGCCCATGTGAACTGCACCATACATTTCCTGCTGTGTTGACCTGAAATCCTCTAAAACCATGAGCCAAACTAGCTAGCCTTCCCTCCTGCCAAGCCATCTCCCTTGGCCTCAATTTTGTTGTCCCCCAAATGGGGATAGATTGTAGTAATTCCTACCTCCTTAGGTTATGGTGGGGTTAACAGGGAGGTAAAACACCAACAACGTCAAGTAATTATCAAAAGTAATTTCACTCGGTTTCAGTTTTCAGTCCAGTTATTATTGCTGCACAATTAGATCTAAAACTCTGCAGCTTAAGCAATCATTTCCTTTTTCTTTTGATTTTCTGAGACAGGGTTCCTTGTATAGCTTTGGATTCTGTCTTGGAACTAGCTCTGTAGATCAAGCTAGTTTCAATCCACCTGCCTTTGGCTCCTAAGTGCTGGGCTTAAATGCCTGTGTCGTCACCACCACCCAGCTAACAACCATTTCTTATTCTTGTGCATGGGATTTGGGGCCCTTGGATCCAGTCTGTCGCTGCTTCATGGTATCTAAGGCATGGGCTGACCGGGACTCCTGGGGGCTGGGATCATCTCACAGAGCATGGGTTCAAGATGAGCGGAAGCTGTGACTATATATTGAGGCTAGCTATCCAGATGTCACTTTTGTTAGTGTGGACTGCTTCACAGCATGGCTGACAGCTGGCCTTCGTTAACTTCTTGAGACAGAGTCTCCCTAAGTGGCCCACGTTGCCCTCAAACTCACAGTCCTCCTGCTTCAGCCTCCCAGTTGCCAGCATTATGGGTGTGTGCCACTATGCCAGTTGGTGAGGCCCACCTGGAGACTCAGAGTCCCAGTGTTCTAGTGTCTTGGCCCAGCAGTCACATAGCTTGCTACTCTGTGCAATCTCTTGGTGTACATACGCTAGGGAGAGCATGAAGAACTTGGAGCCATATTTTCAAACTGCCCTCACTACCATTTCTCTCAGACTGTAAAGGGCCCAGAAGGTCTTATCTACACCATCTTTTTGTGAGATATTTGTCTGTGCCCATGGCACTTGGGCCGGCTTGGAGAGAGTACATGCGTGTGCTTGGGAGGCTGGGTTAGTATGAATACGTGAGTGTGGAAGCCTGCATGTGAACACGGGAGGCTGGGAGAGGCTACGCTCACTTGTGTGCTGAGCCTGCATGTGGTCTTGGAGTGAGGATTAGTGACATTGTCCCCAGCCTAGGTGCAGAGCCAGCTGCCCGCTGATTCCACATGGATGCCCAAAGCCATACGGCAGCAAACACAGAACCCTAGGTCTCCCTGCCCAGCTGCACAGCAGCCCCTTCCAGTGTGTAAGTCCTTACCAAGTCTCCTCTGGTTTGCCCATGTGTCTCCATTCCAATTATTGTCTGAGCCCAAATAGCCTCATCTCCCCTGCCAGCTGCCCAGCTCCCAGCCTTGCTCCTGGACCCGTCAGAACTCTTAGTTGTCTCCTTCAATTGAGATCAAACTCCTAGTTCCTGGACTGGGCTACACTCAATGGTAGAGCACTTGCCTAGCATACAGGAGGTTGTAAACGAAGCTCCCAGCACCCTCCCCACATTCTTCCCTGGCCCATGCGCTCCTCTCCACTTGACCTCTCAACGCTTAGGTTCCAGACCCTCGGCCTTCGCTGTGACGCTCCTTTGTCACCCATGGGCTCCTTTGCTGTTCCCTGGGCCCCGCTGATGTTTCCCCTGCTTAGACCCAGCCAGCTGTCCCCAGCTGCCTGGCCCAGAGCCCAGTCTCATGCTGTGCCGCCCTTCCTTATGCAGCTGGCCCCTCAGACTCCTTTAGTTCGTTTTCTTCAGGAGCAAGGAGCTTGTCTTCCTTGTTCCCCGGGCCAGCCCAAGTCTAAGTTAGTGTTCCTGTGGCTTACAGGTGCCCAGACCTCCATCAAGAGTGAACGGTGCTGAATGCCTGGGATATCAGAGGTGCTGGGTGTGTGTGTGTTTACATGGGAGAGGCCCCACAGTGTGTGTGTGTGTGTGTGTGTGTGTGTTTACATGGGAGAGGTCCGGCACACAGGGTGTGGTGTGTGTGTACATGGGTGAGGCCTGACACAGGGGTGTGTGTGTGTGTGTGTGTGTGTGTGTGTTTACATGGGAGAGGTCCGGCACACAGGGTGTGGTGTGTGTGTACATGGGTAAGGCCTGCCTGACACGGGTGTGTGTGTGTGTGTGTGCCACAGTGATTGTGGAAACTATTTGCAGAGTGACAGTCCCTCCTAGGGAAACTTGAAGTAAGTTCCCTTGTAGGGCAGCCAGGCAGCCACAGAACTGGCTGTCGCGGGGCAGGGGCGGTCCCAGGCTCCCCTCTGTCCCGCCCCCCAAGCTCAGGCAGGGGCTGGCCAACGTGGCGGAGGGAGGGAGGGAGGGAGGGCGCAGGCCCCAGCACTGGGATAAGTTTGTCCACCACTGCTACAGCGCGGATTTGACTGGGGCCGGCTCGCTAGCTATGGGTAAGTCGTGGTTAGACACGGAGCTCCGGCTGGGAGAGCTGCAAGCATGGGTGGCCCCCACTCCCACCCCCACCCCGCGCAGGACAGGGCGGGCCCCACCTCATGTCAATCCCCCTTCCCGGGGAGTGGCCTGGCCTCAGGGAGCCCCCAGGAGCCCCAGAGAGCCGATTCTGCAGACAGTGCTTGGGATGGTTCCTCAGACAGGGTCGCTTTGGGGTGCTGAGGCTGCCAGGACTCTGCAGACAATTCTGGGGTGACTCCAGTTCTGCAGACTGGGCCGTAAGTCCAGGAGCCAAGTCAGCCGGCTGGTTGCTAAGCACCTCAGTGCTGAGTACTGCCCTAGGCCAGGACACTCACAGGTATGGCTTAGACAGAACATCTGTGCTGGGCTTGCATTCAGTGAGAGGAAGCAGGTCCACCGCTGCAGGAGTTCTAGCCAGGGGAGCATGTCTTGGCCACTGCCTGGGCCCAAGACTTCTGGATTCAGAAACTCAAAGGGACAGTCAGTGGGCATACAGTTCAGGACACACACACAGGCTGGGACTCCCAGTGAACAAGCATCCTCAGTCTTGGGGGTGAGGAGCTGGGGGGACTTGGAGTGAACAGGATGCTGTGGAACACAGAGAGCTATAAAGGCCCCGAGGTGTGCTCCTTTTGTAGCACAGGGGCAAGGCGGACCTGACGCCTTATCCAAGAGTGGGCTTTGCTGAGACCTGGGAAAGAGCTTCCAGGTGGCAGGATTGCACAGTGGGATCCAAGCCAGGGCAGAATGCACAGTGGGGTCCAGCCAGGGCGGAATGCACAGTGGGGTCCAGCCAGGGCGGAATGCATAGTGGGGTCCAGCCAGGGCAGACAGCCGCTCAGTGGATAAGGGGAGGGGCTGGGAGGTGAGTAGGGGGCAAACTGTGCAGGGCTCTGGGGGCTCTGGGGGCTGTGAGGAGAAGTTTGGATGTCATTCCAAAGCACAGGGGAAGCTGGAGGCTCTAAGCTGCATTAGTGAATGGGTAACTCGAGTTGTCTACCTGAGGCTGTTCAGTGGAGACTCATAGTAGCTAACTCTGGTTGTGATATAACTAGTATGGCACATGTAGATAATGAGGTTCAGAAACGTCCTTTCTCTGACAGCCATGGCAGAATAAACATGTCCATTCTAAAAGGGAGCAACAGGAGATTAGCAAGGAAAAAATGGGCCAAAGCAAAACCCAAATCCAGAAAGGCAATTAGTAGTTCCTGGAGATCCAGGCCTGGCATCTGGGATTCTCGGTGTCACGATGTGAGTGTCCATGGGTTTGAACAGCCTTGTCTCTATCAACTGAGAGACTAAAAGCTTTCCTTGGTCTATGGTCCACATTTCTGGTACCTCTAACTTCCTGGGGTTTCCACACCAACGTTCTGCCATCAGCTCCAGGAGCAGTGGGGTTCTCTGGAATCCACAGGCGCAGTGGCCTCAGAGTCCCTGGCCAAGTAATCACAGTGATGTAAACTCTGAGGAAACCACTTCCTAGATGGCTCTGGACCAGCATGGTACCCCAGGGGCTCTTGGTACCCCAAGGAAAGCCTTTTAATTAAGTTTCTAGCTTTGTTGCTTCCGTGGCTGGGACTTGGTGGATTTCTGAGATTCCCACTAAGCCTCCTACCAATTGTCCTAATATAGTGTGCTTGGCTTATTTTTTAATGGTGGGAATCTCTTCAGAGACCTTGCCTTCCTCAGCTCCAACTTTGCACAGGCTTCTCAGACTGGGCTGCTCTGCTTTTGTTCCCAACTCTCACTGTAAACCTGGCAAAAAGCAGCTAGCAACAGCTATGCCATAGCTTGAATGCTGGACTGCCTTGAAATCCCTGTAACAACCAGTTTAATATTGTTTAAAAAAATCACTTCAAAAATTCTCTCTACACACACACACACACACACACACACACACAGAGAGAGAGACAGAGAGAGGGAGAGAGAGGGAGAGAGAGAGACAGAGAGACAGAGACAGAGAGGAGGAGGAGGAGGAGGAGGAGGAGGAGGAGGAGGAGGAGGAAGAGGAAGAGCATAGGAATACACACACGCCATGCTGTGCATATGGAGGTCAGAGAACAAACAGCCTGTGGCAATTGGTTCTCTCTCTACCTTGTCAAGGCAGGTCTCTCAGGTTATTTTTGTTGCTCTGTGAGCTCTGGGATAGCTACCCCAAAGCCTGTGGGTGATTCTACTGCCTCTGTCTTTCACCTTGCCAGAGGGACGATGGGTTTACAGATGTCACAGCCACACCTGGCTTTCTGTAGATTCTGGGACTCAAACCCCATTGTCAGGCTTGCTCAGGAAGTGCTTCCACCTCCTGAGCCACCTCACGGGACCTAAAGTATGACTTTTAAGTTTAGCTTCCCACAGAGTCTCAGGCTGTGGACAAATTGTACAAAAATTCCTTGTTGGCATGTAACAAATGGCCTCTAGTCCAATTCTGAATAGAACCTTTATTCCTGTCTGTAGCCTCACCTGCCTGGTCATTGCTGTCTGCATTCCTGTTGGTGCTCTGGTCTTCTGGGTTCCCACTGGACACCCTCATTAAGCCCTGATAATAGCATTCTTGGGGATCTCTAGTTCACATCTCTAAAATCTTGCAAAACCCTCCTGCAAACCCGTTCCATGGGTTTAAGAACCATGTGGGCAGGTAAGGCCACAGCAACAATCCCACTTCTGGTACCAATTTCCTGTATTAGTTTCTTTCTATAACTGCAACCCCAATACCCAAGATACTAAGTTGAAAATAGGCAAGGCTTATTTCTACTTCACATTTCAGAGTGTTGGGTCCATGGTTTCTTGGTCCACTGCATAAAGGCAGGATAGCATGGTCATGGAGCATGGAGGGAAGGGATGAAGGCAGGGTAGCATGGTGGAGGGAAGGGGCTTTTTAACTTTATGGTGGAATGGAAGCAGAGTGTAGAGAAGAGAGAGGGAGGCAGTGACTAACCTCCTCCAAATAGGTCCCACATCGTACTGTTTCCAGAACCTTCACAAATAACGCCATCAGCTTAGGCTTAAGTCCCCCAACAGCACAAGCTTTTTGTGGGCACAATCCATAGGAGTCACTGCGTGGGCAGTTTGTCATCTTTGGACTCAGAGTGTGTGAGGACCCAGGATGCTTCGTGGAAGCCAAAGCAGCTCATCCCCTCAGCAGAGGGCTGCTCCGAGATGTGGGCCTGCACCCAGGCAGCCAGGCCTATGTGGGCCTGCAGCTCAGCCTCCAGCAGCAGCCGCACCATCTGCAGTTGGCTCCCCTGCTGCTGCACCCAGGCAGCCAGGCCTGATGGCCCAGATGGCACTCACTGCAGCTGCCGTGGCCGTGGGCTCTGCAGTGGGTCACACCCTGGGTCACACCGTCACTGAGGGCTTCAGTGGAGGAGGCAGTGCCCAGCCTGCAAGGCCTGACATCACTTACTGGGATCCCCAGGGAGCCCAGCTGCTGGGCCAGCAGTCTCCAGGGCCATGCTCTCTCGAGAGCAAACAGTTTCTGGAATGTGCCCAGAACCAGAGTGACGTCAGGCTCTGCGAGGGCTTCAAGGAGTTGTTGTGACAACAGAATTGCAAATGGTTTAATCTAATCAAGAAGCTCAAACTGAAGAAATTGAAATGGGCTCTGCCTAATTTATAGTGCAAGTGTGGACCCTGAGTAAACAAGCCTTATTTCCAATAGCTCCATTACTTCAGAGTAGCCATGAAAGAGTCCCAACTGTAGTTATGCATCAGCTTGTAGTGTTGGGGACTGGGCAAGTGATGGCCTCCTTGAACCAACTGTATTGTTTTTGTGAGTTAATGAAAACAAAACTGTTTGGTTCTGAAAAAAGAAAACAAAAAACAAAACAACAACGACAAACGAGTCACCGCATGTAGCTTACCAGAACCTGTGAGAGTAAACTCTAGGGGACAAGAGAGGGAGACAGTGGGACCAGGCAGTAGCTTTTGGGTGCCCCCTTCATCAGGAGCAGGGGCGATGAGTGGCAGGATGTCGGGGTAGCGGTAATAACTTTCCCACCATGAATGCCTCTGCATAAAAACCGTCTGACTGCTGGGAAGAGGCAGGAGTGAGAGAACAGGACAAAATCCTATCACACAATCTTTTGTTAACCAGGGGTGCCGAATGCTGGGCTTTGGGGGAGGCTCCTCCCCTCCCTGGTCATGAGTTTATTCCCTTACAGGTAATTCTGAAGCACACCTCATAAAGTTGTGGTGAGACACAAAGGAGGTATTAAGCGTGGTGATCAAAGCCATGCCGGGACCAGAGGCTGCTCTCAGTAAACCTGGCTCTCATATTACCACTGTTCTCCTTGGGTCTGGAGTGGGGGTGGGAGTGACACATGCTGCTGGCTGCTTCTAGATGCTTCCAGAAATGTCTATGTTGAAATGTATGGATTAAACAAAAGGAAGACCTGTACAGCGTCAATGCCAATGTGGCGGTCACCAAACACATGAGTTAATAAGATTATTATTAATAATCATAAATGGAATTTTATTATGAATGTCATGGGTGCTAAGAGACAGTTCTTCTAAGTTAATTAATGGAAACAAAGCCTGAGGTTTTCCATCACGTTAGCTGCCATTCAAGTGCCCAATACACACACACACACACACACACACACACACACACACACACACACACACACACGCACTGCATGCATGCTGCACAGACGCACGCACGCACGTATACACGGCTGGTAACTACCATATGCAATAGGGCAGGTGCAGAAGTTTTTGTCTTCTAGGACATTCTCCTAGACAGCACTGCTGTTAGATGGCAGGAAATGGATCTGTGGTATGTCTGTGTGTATTGTGTGTGTGTGGGGGGGTGTCAAAATAGCAGCCCCAACCTTAATCCATTTGTGAAAATATGCTTGGCAAGAAAAAACAGCGTCTTGGTCGAGGGGAGGGT